ACCTCGAAAGAGACTTATATTCTTTTATTTTCAACAGCTTCGATTTGCATCCAAGTTATTGAAATGCCTTTTTCTTTTTAAACTCTTTATATTGGAAAATTCATTTAAAAGAAATTCCTTTTCTGTAGCATCAAACATTTTTTAAAGATTGCAACGAATGCTTCTTTACACACTTCCAAGGAGCCTTGCACCGGCCTGATTTCTTTCACACAAAATTAGGCAGCACGGAATCATTTCGGCATTAAGCATTTTGCTGGTTAGATGCCACTTAATAGCCAAACAAAAATAATTTATTATTTTAACTGTTTCAGTGTTTAGAATCAAAGATAATTTTTTCGAACATTCCTAAAATTTTATGACACTCTCGTTGATCGGGCGCGTTTTCAGTCATTTACTTGGAGTCTATTGGTGGTACTTCTTTCAAAGTTAAGAAGCCGGTAGACTGTGCATCATTATATTACAATAAATAATGGAACTAATAATACAAGTTTAAAAGACTACTCACTATATGGACTGCCATTTGTTTTGCCGTGATTCCCTTATAATGGTTATGATTTGTTGCAAGCCATCTACACTCCGATGCCAATTATGTATGTAGAATTAACGCGTTAGACCGCATGGCTATGTTCACTATAACGAAATAACAGTTTATGTTATATGATTTAATAAGCTTTTATGTTAAGATTCATGTTCACTTATTTTATTATAATTTTGTTATTATTTGAATTATAAACAATATTCTACGAAACCACTTCATAAAAAACAAGAAATTTTGTTGAAATTGTGGAACATAACGAGATTGATCAGTGGACCAAGGACGATAAAAAATATAATCCAGTTTCCAAAGGATTTTAAATGACTAGGTACTTGAAACACTTAAAATGTCCTAGTCCCCGCGATTGATACCAGGGAGACAACAATGCGAATGTTAAACCGCTCTTATACAAATGGACCGGTGCTAGAAGAAAATCAGGAAAATTGGGACCGTTGGTGAAGTAAGGTTGGGTCAATGAAAAACGTTGGAATTAAATGGAATGAGGATGAATATTCTCTGGCATTAAACCCTGGAAATTCAAAAAAGTGATAGTCTTGGACAAAATTCCTTAGAAAATATAAAATATAACATACTATAGGAATCATTTGAAAAACAACACAAAATATATGACACGGCAGCATCAGGAAATAAATAAGGGTTATCCTGGATGGTTATCATATGATAAGGAAACTTCAAAATGCTGGCAAGCGTGATCCGATAGGGTCTATTTTCAATACAAAACGTCTGATGAGTATTTCAAATGCCTACAAGTACATCATATGGTGGAAGGTATTTCAAACTTCGAACAGAAGCAATAGCAGAAAAAAAACACAAGCCCGCAAAGAGAGACAAAACAATAGTTATACACAGCAAAAATATATACCGTAGTTTTTCGATTTCACGAAGTATATGTCAGTCCAGTTCGTTAAATTGAAAAATTCTTTAAGCCGACTACTAGCTATAAGAAGGCTTGTCCACTCAAAGACTTTTGAAATAACAATTCTTACATGAGTTAACAAATAAATAAATGGAAGTGGTATACATATACATTGATTGCATGTTATTGATTATACACATTTTTAAATATGTTCTACAACATCATCATGCTTAATTCTCAGTTGTTCATCTGATAATAAAAATATATAATCGTGTGGGAATGAAAAATGAAAACTTTGTGAATTAAACTATAATGGTTTTAGTCAATAATGTAGCTTATGAATAGTCACGGTTTTCGTCCGTGCGTATATAAAACTTTTTATTGTTTTTAAAAATATAATTTGCTTGCCACTAATAACTGAACTTAAAATTTATCGCAAACCTTGTTATAAGGATAATAACTGTGTTTTATAGCGATAATGGTAAAGTAGCACCACATTTGTGAACTTATTTGATGTATAACACGGGTATTTTTAAGCATGACGTTCTAAGCTTCAAATTTTAGTACCGTTTTTTTGGTTTTCCCCATCAAATTACAGTCAATATTTATGTTCATATGGTTATGCTTGCTTCCTGTTCATTTCTTAAAGTAGTGGAAAGTTAAGTGGTTAAAATGGCTACGGTCAGTAAACTATGCAATAGTTAGAGACCTAATCCCTTCGCGAGTTATCGTGCGCACCAGCTAGATAGACACACGGACATATACCCCTCCATCGACTCCAAATATCATGAAACGTATTTGGTCTATAGAGACCTAAATTCTAAAAACGTTATTTCGGTGAGACACGTATCAAATGATATGAATCCTCTGTAGTTATATGGCTGAGGGTATAAAGAGGCATGAACTTGTAAATATTCCTATAAATTTAAATTTTTGTTAAAGTTAAATTTTGGTATGGAGCTCTAATCCCATGTTTGCAAAATAGTTATTAGTGGTCAAAGATTACCACAATAAAGTCGACTTCAACAGTTGGTTCTTTTTCGATTTCTTTTTCTCTATGACTGAATTAATGAGCTCCTCATTAAGATCACATGAATCTTCTTCTATCGTCCTGAACTGGACATTTGAACTTGACTGTACTTATAAAATTAAACAAACGTTTGTTTTTTCGTAATGGTGAACTTTATCATATATCATAATAATATAATATCATAATATCAAAATTCAGCTTTCTGAAAATTTTTGCACTCTCAAATGTCTATTTTACTTGGGTAACTTTCAAGTAAAGTAGGTTCCGCCTCTGGTGTTTTGTGAACAGTATGCTGTTGCGCCTTATGGCATTTTTTACAGGAGCGTGTATTTTAGTTATGTGTATTTGATTCAATCAAAAAAAAAAACAAATTATGATTTATTATGGGTTTCGCCTTTCGGCATTTCTGGTGACGATATATGTTATTATTAGGTAATGTCCGATTACGTGAATTGGTTCATTAAAAATAATATTTTATATACATTGATCAAGAAAATTGAACTATGATTCATTTTAGAATATAAATGTCTCTTAAAAATATAGGCATAGATTGATATTTTCACAAATTTAAACAAATTGGTTGAAAAAGTGGTTATACTCAAATAATTTCAGTATTTAAACAATATTCCAACATACAAACAACATTTTTTCTATTTTAATATGTCCTCTTTGTCCGATCGTGTAGGCTACAGTCAAGAAAGCCATTATAATGAAATTATTTTCCACTATTAACCGAAAAGATTGTAGTTTTAAATAAAAAAAGATCTTTGAGAAAATATTGAGTAGCCCTTTAAAAAGATTTAAAAAACTAATTGGCGGATCTTGTAGTTTGATATGAAAAGCCGTTAACAATGAATAAGTTGTCTCAATGTTATACGTAAATAAGTTGTCTCTTTAAATATCGATTTTCAAGATATTTGTTTACAGAGAGTTGTAATTGTCGGATGCAGCATACAATTTTGTAAGCGCAACAGAAATCATGTTCTAAAAATCGTTCATGTGCTCGCAAAACAGTAAGAAGTAAGAATTTGGCTTGCGTCGAATAAAGCAAGGTTTCAAATGAGATGTGTCAATAACAAGGCGTTCCTAGAAACTATTAAACATTTTATATAAAGGAATCTCAAACACGATTCTAAAACAAGGAAAGAATGCTTATACATTAGTTAAACTCTGCGCCCATTCTTTCAAAGATCCGTGAGGAAATATTGTACTGATGTCTACTATTACATTTCACCGCTCATTAATCTACTACAAGGCCTGCATTCAATCCACACCACAGTGTACGTACATTGTGCCATTAGCTCAAATCAAAGATAAGCTCAAATTAGTAAGATATCATTTAAATAACTTTAATAATAATGTGCAGAAATGGGACTAAGAGTGTGCGTTACTGCATCCGCAATTTAAAATTCGCTTTTCTGTAAATAACGTATTAATACCAATGTTCGTCTATTTGCCTAAACGAAAACACGATAAAGGTAGATCTGTTGAACAATTATAATATCAGTAATAAGTAAGTTTCTGGTGAGAGAATAAAAACTCTTAACTAGCAAACTTGAATTGAGTTAGTTCAGAATAAAGAATTACTTTCTTTGTTTTTCAAACTAATTCACATAGAACCTCGAAAGAGACTTAATATTGTTTTATTTCAACAGCTTCCGATTTGCATCCAAGTTATTGAAATGCCTTTTTCTTTTTAAACTTCTTTATATTGGAAAATTCATTTAAAAGAAATTCCTTTTCTGTAGCATCAAACATTTTTTAAAAGATTGCAACGAATGCTTCTTTACACACTTCCAAGGAGCCTTGCACCGGCCTGATTTCTTTCACACAAAATTAGGCAGCACGGAATCATTTCGGCATTAAACATTTTGCTGGTTAGATGCCACTTAATAGCCAAACAAAAATAATTTATTATTTTAACTGTTTCAGTGTTTAGAATCAAAGATAATTTTTTCGAACATTCCTAAAATTTTATGACACTCTCGTTGATCGGGCGCGTTTTCAGTCATTTACTTGGAGTCTATTAGTGGTACTTCTTTCAAAGTTAAGAAGCCGGTAGACTATGCATCATTATATTACAATAAATAAATGGAACTAATAATACAAGTTTAAAAGACTACTCACTATATGGACTGCCATTTGTTTTGCCGTGATTCCCTTATAATGGTTATGATTTGCTGCAAGCCATCTACACTCCGATGCCAATTATGTATGTAGAATTAACGCGTTAGACCGCATGGCTATGTTCACTATAACGAAATAACAGTTTATGTTATATGATTTAATAAGCTTTTATGTTAAGATTCATGTTCACTTATTTTATTATAATTTTGTTATTATTTGAATTATAAACAATATTCTACGAAACCACTTCATAAAAAACAAGAAATTTTGTTGAAATTGTGGAACATAACGAGATTGATCAGTGGACCAAGGACGATAAAAAATATAATCCAGTTTCCAAAGGATTTTAAATGACTAGGTACTTGAAACACTTAAAATGTCCTAGTCCCCGCGATTGATACCAGGGAGACAACAATGCGAATGTTAAACCGCTCTTATACAAATGGATCGGTGCTAGAAGAAAATCAGGAAAATTGGGACCGTTGGTGAAGTAAGGTTGGGTCAATGAAAAACGTTGGAATTAAATGGAATGAGGATGAAATATTCTCTGGCATTAAACCCTGGAAATTCAAAAAAGTGATAGTCTTGGACAAAATTCCTTAGAAAATATAAAATATAACATACTATAGGAATCATTTGAAAAACAACACAAAATATATGACACGGCAGCATCAGGAAATAAATAAGGGTTATCCTGGATGGTTATCCTATGATAAGGAAACTTCAAAATGCTGGCAAGCGTGATCCGATAGGGTCCATTTTCAATACAAAACGTCTGATGAGTATTTCAAATGCCTACAAGTACATCATATGGTGGAAGGTATTTCAAACTTCGAACAGAAGCAATAGCAGAAAAAAAACACAAGCCCGCAAAGAGAGACAAAACAATAGTTATACACAGCAAAAATATATACCGTAGTTTTTCGATTTCACGAAGTATATGTCAGTCCAGTTCGTTAAATTGAAAAATTCTTTAAGCCGACTACTAGCTATAAGAAGGCTTGTCCACTCAAAGACTTTTGAAATAACAATTCTTACATGAGTTAACAAATAAATAAATGGAAGTGGTATACATATACATTGATTGCATGTTATTGATTATACACATTTTTAAATATGTTCTACAACATCATCATGCTTAATTCTCAGTTGTTCATCTGATAATAAAAATATATAATCGTGTGGGAATGAAAAGTGGAAACTTTGTGAATTAAACTATAATGGTTTTAGTCAATAATGTAGCTTATGAATAGTCACGGTTTTCGTCCGTGCGTATATAAAACTTTTCAAAACTTTTTATTGTTTTTAAAAATATAATTTGCTTGCCACTAATAACTGAACTTAAAATTTATCGCAAACCTTGTTATAAGGATAATAACTGTGTTTTATAGCGATAATGGTAAAGTAGCACCACATTTGTGAACTTATTTGATGTATAACACGGGTATTTTTAAGCATGACGTTCTAAGCTTCAAATTTTAGTACCGTTTTTTTGGTTTTCCCCATCAAATTACAGTCAATATTTATGTTCATATGGTTATGCTTGCTTCCTGTTCATTTCTTAAAGTAGTGGAAAGTTAAGTGGTTAAAATGGCTACGGTCAGTAAACTATGCAATAGTTAGAGACCTAATCCCTTCGCGAGTTATCGTGCGCACCAGCTAGATAGACACACGGACATATACCCCTCCATCGACTCCAAATATCATGAAACGTATTTGGTCTATAGAGACCTAAATTCTAAAAACGTTATTTCGGTGAGACACGTATCAAATGATATGAATCCTCTGTAGTTATATGGCTGAGGGTATAAAGAGGCATGAACTTGTAAATATTCCTATAAATTTAAATTTTTGTTAAAGTTAAATTTTGGTATGGAGCTCTAATCCCATGTTTGCAAAATAGTTATTAGTGGTCAAAGATTACCACAATAAAGTCGACTTCAACAGTTGGTTCTTTTTCGATTTCTTTTTCTCTATGACTGAATTAATGAGCTCCTCATTAAGATCACATGAATCTTCTTCTATCGTCCTGAACTGGACATTTGAACTTGACTGTACTTATAAAATTAAACAAACGTTTGTTTTTTCGTAATGGTGAACTTTATCTCCATATCAAAATTCAGCTTTCTGAAAATTTTTGCACTCTCAAATGTCTATTTTACTTGGGTAACTTTCAAGTAAAGTAGGTTCCGCCTCTGGTGTTTTGTGAACAGTATGCTGTTGCGCCTTATGGCATTTTTTACAGGAGCGTGTATTTTAGTTATGTGTATTTGATTCAATCAAAAAAAAAAAAAAACAAATTATGATTTATTATGGGTTTCGCCTTTCGGCATTTCTGGTGACGATATATGTTATTATTAGGTAATGTCCGATTACGTGAATTGGTTCATTAAAAATAATATTTTATATACATTGATCAAGAAAATTGAACTATGATTCATTTTAGAATATAAATGTCTCTTAAAAATATAGGCATGGATTGATATTTTCACAAATTTAAACAAATTGGTTGAAAAAGTGGTTATACTCAAATAATTTCAGTATTTAAACAATATTCCAACATACAAACAACATTTTTTCTATTTTAATATGTCCTCTTTGTCCGTCGTGTAGGCTACAGTCAAGAAAGCCATTATAATCAAATTATTTTCCACTATTAACCGGAAAGATTGTAGTTTTAAATAAAAAAAGATCTTTGAGAAAATATTGAGTAGCCCTTTAAAAAGATTTAAAAAACTAATTGGCGGATCTTGTAGTTTGATATGAAAAGCCGTTAACAATGAATAAGTTGTCTCAATGTTATACGTAAATAAGTTGTCTCTTTAAATATCGATTTTCAAGATATTTGTTTACAGAGAGTTGTAATTGTCGGATGCAGCATACAATTTTGTAAGCGCAACAGAAATCATGTTCTAAAAATCGTTCATGTGCTCGCAAAACAGTAAGAAGTAAGAATTTGGCTTGCGTCGAATAAAGCAAGGTTTCAAATGAGATGTGTCAATAACAAGGCGTTCCTAGAAACTATTAAACATTTTATATAAAGGAATCTCAAACACGATTCTAAAACAAGGAAAGAATGCTTATACATTAGTTAAACTCTGCGCCCATTCTTTCAAAGATCCGTGAGGAAATATTGTACTGATGTCTACTATTACATTTCACCGCTCATTAATCTACTACAAGGCCTGCATTCAATCCACACCACAGTGTACGTACATTGTGCCATTAGCTCAAATCAAAGATAAGCTCAAATTAGTAAGATATCATTTAAATAACTTTAATAATAATGTGCAGAAATGGGACTAAGAGTGTGCGTTACTGCATCCGCAATTTAAAATTCGCTTTTCTGTAAATAACGTATTAATACCAATGTTCGTCTATTTGCCTAAACGAAAACACGATAAAGGTAGATCTGTTGAACAATTATAATATCAGTAATAAGTAAGTTTCTGGTGAGAGAATAAAAACTCTTAACTAGCAAACTTGAATTGAGTTAGTTCAGAATAAAGAATTACTTTCTTTGTTTTTCAAACTAATTCACATAGAACCTCGAAAGAGACTTAATATTCTTTTATTTCAACAGCTTCCGATTTGCATCCAAGTTATTGAAATGCCTTTTTCTTTTTAAACTTCTTTATATTGGAAAATTCATTTAAAAGAAATTCCTTTTCTGTAGCATCAAACATTTTTTAAAAGATTGCAACGAATGCTTCTTTACACACTTCCAAGGAGCCTTGCACCGGCCTGATTTCTTTCACACAAAATTAGGCAGCACGGAATCATTTCGGCATTAAGCATTTTGCTGGTTAGATGCCACTTAATAGCCACACAAAAATAATTTATTATTTTAACTGTTTCAGTGTTTAGAATCAAAGATAATTTTTTCGAACATTCCTAAAATTTTATGACACTCTCGTTGATCGGGCGCGTTTTCAGTCATTTACTTGGAGTCTATTGGTGGTACTTCTTTCAAAGTTAAGAAGCCGGTAGACTGTGCATCATTATATTACAATAAATAAATGGAACTAATAATACAAGTTTAAAAGACTACTCACTATATGGACTGCCATTTGTTTTGCCGTGATTCCCTTATAATGGTTATGATTTGTTGCAAGCCATCTACACTCCGATGCCAATTATGTATGTAGAATTAACGCGTTAGACCGCATGGCTATGTTCACTATAACGAAATAACAGTTTATGTTATATGATTTAATAAGCTTTTATGTTAAGATTCATGTTCACTTATTTTATTATAATTTTGTTATTATTTGAATTATAAACAATATTCTACGAAACCACTTCATAAAAAACAAGAAATTTTGTTGAAATTGTGGAACATAACGAGATTGATCAGTGGACCAAGGACGATAAAAAATATAATCCAGTTTCCAAAGGATTTTAAATGACTAGGTACTTGAAACACTTAAAATGTCCTAGTCCCCGCGATTGATACCAGGGAGACAACAATGCGAATGTTAAACCGCTCTTATACAAATGGACCGGTGCTAGAAGAAAATCAGGAAAATTGGGACCGTTGGTGAAGTAAGGTTGGGTCAATGAAAAACGTTGGAATTAAATGGAATGAGGATGAAATATTCTCTGGCATTAAACCCTGGAAATTCAAAAAAGTGATAGTCTTGGACAAAATTCCTTAGAAAATATAAAATATAACATACTATAGGAATCATTTGAAAAACAACACAAAATATATGACACGGCAGCATCAGGAAATAAATAAGGGTTATCCTGGATGGTTATCATATGATAAGGAAACTTCAAAATGCTGGCAAGCGTGATCCGATAGGGTCTATTTTCAATACAAAACGTCTGATGAGTATTTCAAATGCCTACAAGTACATCATATGGTGGAAGGTATTTCAAACTTCGAACAGAAGCAATAGCAGAAAAAAAACACAAGCCCGCAAAGAGAGACAAAACAATAGTTATACACAGCAAAAATATATACCGTAGTTTTTCGATTTCACGAAGTATATGTCAGTCCAGTTCGTTAAATTGAAAAATTCTTTAAGCCGACTACTAGCTATAAGAAGGCTTGTCCACTCAAAGACTTTTGAAATAACAATTCTTACATGAGTTAACAAATAAATAAATGGAAGTGGTATACATATACATTGATTGCATGTTATTGATTATACACATTTTTAAATATGTTCTACAACATCATCATGCTTAATTCTCAGTTGTTCATCTGATAATAAAAATATATAATCGTGTGGGAATGAAAAATGAAAACTTTGTGAATTAAACTATAATGGTTTTAGTCAATAATGTAGCTTATGAATAGTCACGGTTTTCGTCCGTGCGTATATAAAACTTTTTATTGTTTTTAAAAATATAATTTGCTTGCCACTAATAACTGAACTTAAAATTTATCGCAAACCTTGTTATAAGGATAATAACTGTGTTTTATAGCGATAATGGTAAAGTAGCACCACATTTGTGAACTTATTTGATGTATAACACGGGTATTTTTAAGCATGATGTTCTAAGCTTCAAATTTTAGTACCGTTTTTTTGGTTTTCCCCATCAAATTACAGTCAATATTTATGTTCATATGGTTATGCTTGCTTCCTGTTCATTTCTTAAAGTAGTGGAAAGTTAAGTGGTTAAAATGGCTACGGTCAGTAAACTATGCAATAGTTAGAGACCTAATCCCTTCGCGAGTTATCGTGCGCACCAGCTAGATAGACACACGGACATATACCCCTCCATCGACTCCAAATATCATGAAACGTATTTGGTCTATAGAGACCTAAATTCTAAAAACGTTATTTCGGTGAGACACGTATCAAATGATATGAATCCTCTGTAGTTATATGGCTGAGGGTATAAAGAGGCATGAACTTGTAAATATTCCTATAAATTTAAATTTTTGTTAAAGTTAAATTTTGGTATGGAGCTATAATCCCATGTTTGCAAAATAGTTATTAGTGGTCAAAGATTACCACAATAAAGTCGACTTCAACAGTTGGTTCTTTTTCGATTTCTTTTTCTCTATGACTGAATTAATGAGCTCCTCATTAAGATCACATGAATCTTCTTCTATCGTCCTGAACTGGACATTTGAACTTGACTGTACTTATAAAATTAAACAAACGTTTGTTTTTTCGTAATGGTGAACTTTATCATATATCATAATAATATAATATCATAATATCAAAATTCAGCTTTCTGAAAATTTTTGCACTCTCAAATGTCTATTTTACTTGGGTAACTTTCAAGTAAAGTAGGTTCCGCCTCTGGTGTTTTGTGAACAGTATGCTGTTGCGCCTTATGGCATTTTTTACAGGAGCGTGTATTTTAGTTATGTGTTTTCGATTCAATCAAAAAAAAAAAAAACAAATTATGATTTATTATGGGTTTCGCCTTTCGGCATTTCTGGTGACGATATATGTTATTATTAGGTAATGTCCGATTACGTGAATTGGTTCATTAAAAATAATATTTTATATACATTGATCAAGAAAATTGAACTATGATTCATTTTAGAATATAAATGTCTCTTAAAAATATAGGCATAGATTGATATTTTCACAAATTTAAACAAATTGGTTGAAAAAGTGGTTATACTCAAATAATTTCAGTATTTAAACAATATTCCAACATACAAACAACATTTTTTCTATTTTAATATGTCCTCTTTGTCCGTCGTGTAGGCTACAGTCAAGAAAGCCATTATAATGAAATTATTTTCCACTATTAACCGGAAAGATTGTAGTTTTAAATAAAAAAAGATCTTTGAGAAAATATTGAGTAGCCCTTTAAAAAGATTTAAAAAACTAATTGGCGGATCTTGTAGTTTGATATGAAAAGCCGTTAACAATGAATAAGTTGTCTCAATGTTATACGTAAATAAGTTGTCTCTTTAAATATCGATTTTCAAGATATTTGTTTACAGAGAGTTGTAATTGTCGGATGCAGCATACAATTTTGTAAGCGCAACAGAAATCATGTTCTAAAAATCGTTCATGTGCTCGCAAAACAGTAAGAAGTAAGAATTTGGCTTGCGTCGAATAAAGCAAGGTTTCAAATGAGATGTGTCAATAACAAGGCGTTCCTAGAAACTATTAAACATTTTATATAAAGGAATCTCAAACACGATTCTAAAACAAGGAAAGAATGCTTATACATTAGTTAAACTCTGCGCCCATTCTTTCAAAGATCCGTGAGGAAATATTGTACTGATGTCTACTATTACATTTCACCGCTCATTAATCTACTACAAGGCCTGCATTCAATCCACACCACAGTGTACGTACATTGTGCCATTAGCTCAAATCAAAGATAAGCTCAAATTAGTAAGATATCATTTAAATAACTTTAATAATAATGTGCAGAAATGGGACTAAGAGTGTGCGTTACTGCATCCGCAATTTAAAATTCGCTTTTCTGTAAATAACGTATTAATACCAATGTTCGTCTATTTGCCTAAACGAAAACACGATAAAGGTAGATCTGTTGAACAATTATAATATCAGTAATAAGTAAGTTTCTGGTGAGAGAATAAAAACTCTTAACTAGCAAACTTGAATTGAGTTAGTTCAGAATAAAGAATTACTTTCTTTGTTTTTCAAACTAATTCACATAGAACCTCGAAAGAGACTTAATATTCTTTTATTTCAACAGCTTCCGATTTGCATCCAAGTTATTGAAATGCCTTTTTCTTTTTAAACTTCTTTATATTGGAAAATTCATTTAAAAGAAATTCCTTTTCTGTAGCATCAAACATTTTTTAAAAGATTGCAACGAATGCTTCTTTACACACTTCCAAGGAGCCTTGCACCGGCCTGATTTCTTTCACACAAAATTAGGCAGCACGGAATCATTTCGGCATTAAACATTTTGCTGGTTAGATGCCACTTAATAGCCAAACAAAAATAATTTATTATTTTAACTGTTTCAGTGTTTAGAATCAAAGATAATTTTTTCGAACATTCCTAAAATTTTATGACACTCTCGTTGATCGGGCGCGTTTTCAGTCATTTACTTGGAGTCTATTAGTGGTACTTCTTTCAAAGTTAAGAAGCCGGTAGACTGTGCATCATTATATTACAATAAATAAATGGAACTAATAATACAAGTTTAAAAGACTACTCACTATATGGACTGCCATTTGTTTTGCCGTGATTCCCTTATAATGGTTATGATTTGCTGCAAGCCATCTACACTCCGATGCCAATTATGTATGTAGAATTAACGCGTTAGACCGCATGGCTATGTTCACTATAACGAAATAACAGTTTATGTTATATGATTTAATAAGCTTTTATGTTAAGATTCATGTTCACTTATTTTATTATAATTTTGTTATTATTTGAATTATAAACAATATTCTACGAAACCACTTCATAAAAAACAAGAAATTTTGTTGAAATTGTGGAACATAACGAGATTGATCAGTGGACCAAGGACGATAAAAAATATAATCCAGTTTCCAAAGGATTTTAAATGACTAGGTACTTGAAACACTTAAAATGTCCTAGTCCCCGCGATTGATACCAGGGAGACAACAATGCGAATGTTAAACCGCTCTTATACAAATGGATCGGTGCTAGAAGAAAATCAGGAAAATTGGGACCGTTGGTGAAGTAAGGTTGGGTCAATGAAAAACGTTGGAATTAAATGGAATGAGGATGAAATATTCTCTGGCATTAAACCCTGGAAATTCAAAAAAGTGATAGTCTTGGACAAAATTCCTTAGAAAATATAAAATATAACATACTATAGGAATCATTTGAAAAACAACACAAAATATATGACACGGCAGCATCAGGAAATAAATAAGGGTTATCCTGGATGGTTATCCTATGATAAGGAAACTTCAAAATGCTGGCAAGCGTGATCCGATAGGGTCCATTTTCAATACAAAACGTCTGATGAGTATTTCAAATGCCTACAAGTACATCATATGGTGGAAGGTATTTCAAACTTCGAACAGAAGCAATAGCAGAAAAAAAACACAAGCCCGCAAAGAGAGACAAAACAATAGTTATACACAGCAAAAATATATACCGTAGTTTTTCGATTTCACGAAGTATATGTCAGTCCAGTTCGTTAAATTGAAAAATTCTTTAAGCCGACTACTAGCTATAAGAAGGCTTGTCCACTCAAAGACTTTTGAAATAACAATTCTTACATGAGTTAACAAATAAATAAATGGAAGTGGTATACATATACATTGATTGCATGTTATTGATTATACACATTTTTAAATATGTTCTACAACATCATCATGCTTAATTCTCAGTTGTTCATCTGATAATAAAAATATATAATCGTGTGGGAATGAAAAGTGAAAACTTTGTGAATTAAACTATAATGGTTTTAGTCAATAATGTAGCTTATGAATAGTCACGGTTTTCGTCCGTGCGTATATAAAACTTTTTATTGTTTTTAAAAATATAATTTGCTTGCCACTAATAACTGAACTTAAAATTTATCGCAAACCTTGTTATAAGGATAATAACTGTGTTTTATAGCGATAATGGTAAAGTAGCACCACATTTGTGAACTTATTTGATGTATAACACGGGTATTTTTAAGCATGACGTTCTAAGCTTCAAATTTTAGTACCGTTTTTTTGGTTTTCCCCATCAAATTACAGTCAATATTTATGTTCATATGGTTATGCTTGCTTCCTGTTCATTTCTTAAAGTAGTGGAAAGTTAAGTGGTTAAAATGGCTACGGTCAGTAAACTATGCAATAGTTAGAGACCTAATCCCTTCGCGAGTTATCGTGCGCACCAGCTAGATAGACACACGGACATATACCCCTCCATCGACTCCAAATATCATGAAACGTATTTGGTCTATAGAGACCTAAATTCTAAAAACGTTATTTCGGTGAGACACGTATCAAATGATATGAATCCTCTGTAGTTATATGGCTGAGGGTATAAAGAGGCATGAACTTGTAAATATTCCTATAAATTTAAATTTTTGTTAAAGTTAAATTTTGGTATGGAGCTCTAATCCCATGTTTGCAAAATAGTTATTAGTGGTCAAAGATTACCACAATAAAGTCGACTTCAACAGTTGGTTCTTTTTCGATTTCTTTTTCTCTATGACTGAATTAATGAGCTCCTCATTAAGATCACATGAATCTTCTTCTATCGTCCTGAACTGGACATTTGAACTTGACTGTACTTATAAAATTAAACAAACGTTTGTTTTTTCGTAATGGTGAACTTTATCTCCATATCAAAATTCAGCTTTCTGAAAATTTTTGCACTCTCAAATGTCTATTTTACTTGGGTAACTTTCAAGTAAAGTAGGTTCCGCCTCTGGTGTTTTGTGAACAGTATGCTGTTGCGCCTTATGGCATTTTTTACAGGAGCGTGTATTTTAGTTATGTGTATTTGATTCAATCAAAAAAAAAAAACAAATTATGATTTATTATGGGTTTCGCCTTTCGGCATTTCTGGTGACGATATATGTTATTATTAGGTAATGTCCGATTACGTGAATTGGTTCATTAAAAATAATATTTTATATACATTGATCAAGAAAATTGAACTATGATTCATTTTAGAATATAAATGTCTCTTAAAAATATAGGCATAGATTGATATTTTCACAAATTTAAACAAATTGGTTGAAAAAGTGGTTATACTCAAATAATTTCAGTATTTAAACAATATTCCAACATACAAACAACATTTTTTCTATTTTAATATGTCCTCTTTGTCCGATCGTGTAGGCTACAGTCAAGAAAGCCATTATAATGAAATTATTTTCCACTATTAACCGAAAAGATTGTAGTTTTAAATAAAAAAAGATCTTTGAGAAAATATTGAGTAGCCCTTTAAAAAGATTTAAAAAACTAATTGGCGGATCTTGTAGTTTGATATGAAAAGCCGTTAACAATGAATAAGTTGTCTCAATGTTATACGTAAATAAGTTGTCTCTTTAAATATCGATTTTCAAGATATTTGTTTACAGAGAGTTGTAATTGTCGGATGCAGCATACAATTTTGTAAGCGCAACAGAAATCATGTTCTAAAAATCGTTCATGTGCTCGCAAAACAGTAAGAAGTAAGAATTTGGCTTGCGTCGAATAAAGCAAGGTTTCAAATGAGATGTGTCAATAACAAGGCGTTCCTAGAAACTATTAAACATTTTATATAAAGGAATCTCAAACACGATTCTAAAACAAGGAAAGAATGCTTATACATTAGTTAAACTCTGCGCCCATTCTTTCAAAGATCCGTGAGGAAATATTGTACTGATGTCTACTATTACATTTCACCGCTCATTAATCTACTACAAGGCCTGCATTCAATCCACACCACAGTGTACGTACATTGTGCCATTAGCTCAAATCAAAGATAAGCTCAAATTAGTAAGATATCATTTAAATAACTTTAATAATAATGTGCAGAAATGGGACTAAGAGTGTGCGTTACTGCATCCGCAATTTAAAATTCGCTTTTCTGTAAATAACATATTAATACCAATGTTCGTCTATTTGCCTAAACGAAAACACGATAAAGGTAGATCTGTTGAACAATTATAATATCAGTAATAAGTAAGTTTCTGGTGAGAGAATAAAAACTCTTAACTAGCAAACTTGAATTGAGTTAGTTCAGAATAAAGAATTACTTTCTTTGTTTTTCAAACTAATTCACATAGAACCTCGAAAGAGACTTAATATTCTTTTATTTCAACAGCTTCCGATTTGCATCCAAGTTATTGAAATGCCTTTTTCTTTTTAAACTTCTTTATATTGGAAAATTCATTTAAAAGAAATTCCTTTTCTGTAGCATCAAACATTTTTTAAAAGATTGCAACGAATGCTTCTTTACACACTTCCAAGGAGCCTTGCACCGGCCTGATTTCTTTCACACAAAATTAGGCAGCACGGAATCATTTCGGCATTAAGCATTTTGCTGGTTAGATGCCACTTAATAGCCAAACAAAAATAATTTATTATTTTAACTGTTTCAGTGTTTAGAATCAAAGATAATTTTTTCGAACATTCCTAAAATTTTATGACACTCTCGTTGATCGGGCGCGTTTTCAGTCATTTACTTGGAGTCTATTGGTGGTACTTCTTTCAAAGTTAAGAAGCCGGTAGACTGTGCATCATTATATTACAATAAATAAATGGAACTAATAATACAAGTTTAAAAGACTACTCACTATATGGACTGCCATTTGTTTTGCCGTGATTCCCTTATAATGGTTATGATTTGTTGCAAGCCATCTACACTCCGATGCCAATTATGTATGTAGAATTAACGCGTTAGACCGCATGGCTATGTTCACTATAACGAAATAACAGTTTATGTTATATGATTTAATAAGCTTTTATGTTAAGATTCATGTTCACTTATTTTATTATAATTTTGTTATTATTTGAATTATAAACAATATTCTACGAAACCACTTCATAAAAAACAAGAAATTTTGTTGAAATTGTGGAACATAACGAGATTGATCAGTGGACCAAGGACGATAAAAAATATAATCCAGTTTCCAAAGGATTTTAAATGACTAGGTACTTGAAACACTTAAAATGTCCTAGTCCCCGCGATTGATACCAGGGAGACAACAATGCGAATGTTAAACCGCTCTTATACAAATGGACCGGTGCTAGAAGAAAATCAGGAAAATTGGGACCGTTGGTGAAGTAAGGTTGGGTCAATGAAAAACGTTGGAATTAAATGGAATGAGGATGAAATATTCTCTGGCATTAAACCCTGGAAATTCAAAAAAGTGATAGTCTTGGACAAAATTCCTTAGAAAATATAAAATATAACATACTATAGGAATCATTTGAAAAACAACACAAAATATATGACACGGCAGCATCAGGAAATAAATAAGGGTTATCCTGGATGGTTATCCTATGATAAGGAAACTTCAAAATGCTGGCAAGCGTGATCCGATAGGGTCCATTTTCAATACAAAACGTCTGATGAGTATTTCAAATGCCTACAAGTACATCATATGGTGGAGGGTATTTCAAACTCCGAACAGAAGCAATAGCAGAAAAAAAAACACAAGCCCGCAAAGAGAGACAAAACAATAGTTATACACAGCAAAAATATATACCGTAGTTTTTCGATTTCACGAAGTATATGTCAGTCCAGTTCGTTAAATTGAAAAATTCTTTAAGCCGACTACTAGCTATAAGAAGGCTTGTCCACTCAAAGACTTTTGAAATAACAATTCTTACATGAGTTAACAAATAAATAAATGGAAGTGGTATACATATACATTGATTGCATGTTATTGATTATACACATTTTTAAATATGTTCTACAACATCATCATGCTTAATTCTCAGTTGTTCATCTGATAATAAAAATATATAATCGTGTGGGAATGAAAAGTGGAAACTTTGTGAATTAAACTATAATGGTTTTAGTCAATAATGTAGCTTATGAATAGTCACGGTTTTCGTCCGTGCGTATATAAAACTTTTCAAAACTTTTTATTGTTTTTAAAAATATAATTTGCTTGCCACTAATAACTGAACTTAAAATTTATCGCAAACCTTGTTATAAGGATAATAACTGTGTTTTATAGCGATAATGGTAAAGTAGCACCACATTTGTGAACTTATTTGATGTATAACACGGGTATTTTTAAGCATGACGTTCTAAGCTTCAAATTTTAGTACCGTTTTTTTGGTTTTCCCCATCAAATTACAGTCAATATTTATGTTCATATGGTTATGCTTGCTTCCTGTTCATTTCTTAAAGTAGTGGAAAGTTAAGTGGTTAAAATGGCTACGGTCAGTAAACTATGCAATAGTTAGAGACCTAATCCCTTCGCGAGTTATCGTGCGCACCAGCTAGATAGACACACGGACATATACCCCTCCATCGACTCCAAATATCATGAAACGTATTTGGTCTATAGAGACCTAAATTCTAAAAACGTTATTTCGGTGAGACACGTATCAAATGATATGAATCCTCTGTAGTTATATGGCTGAGGGTATAAAGAGGCATGAACTTGTAAATATTCCTATAAATTTAAATTTTTGTTAAAGTTAAATTTTGGTATGGAGCTCTAATCCCATGTTTGCAAAATAGTTATTAGTGGTCAAAGATTACCACAATAAAGTCGACTTCAACAGTTGGTTCTTTTTCGATTTCTTTTTCTCTATGACTGAATTAATGAGCTCCTCATTAAGATCACATGAATCTTCTTCTATCGTCCTGAACTGGACATTTGAACTTGACTGTACTTATAAAATTAAACAAACGTTTGTTTTTTCGTAATGGTGAACTTTATCTCCATATCAAAATTCAGCTTTCTGAAAATTTTTGCACTCTCAAATGTCTATTTTACTTGGGTAACTTTCAAGTAAAGTAGGTTCCGCCTCTGGTGTTTTGTGAACAGTATGCTGTTGCGCCTTATGGCATTTTTTACAGGAGCGTGTATTTTAGTTATGTGTATTTGATTCAATCAAAAAAAAAAAAACAAATTATGATTTATTATGGGTTTCGCCTTTCGGCATTTCTGGTGACGATATATGTTATTATTAGGTAATGTCCGATTACGTGAATTGGTTCATTAAAAATAATATTTTATATACATTGATCAAGAAAATTGAACTATGATTCATTTTAGAATATAAATGTCTCTTAAAAATATAGGCATAGATTGATATTTTCACAAATTTAAACAAATTGGTTGAAAAAGTGGTTATACTCAAATAATTTCAGTATTTAAACAATATTCCAACATACAAACAACATTTTTTCTATTTTAATATGTCCTCTTTGTCCGATCGTGTAGGCTACAGTCAAGAAAGCCATTATAATGAAATTATTTTCCACTATTAACCGGAAAGATTGTAGTTTTAAATAAAAAAAGATCTTTGAGAAAATATTGAGTAGCCCTTTAAAAAGATTTAAAAAACTAATTGGCGGATCTTGTAGTTTGATATGAAAAGCCGTTAACAATGAATAAGTTGTCTCAATGTTATACGTAAATAAGTTGTCTCTTTAAATATCGATTTTCAAGATATTTTATATACATTGATCAAGAAAATTGAACTATGATTCATTTTAGAATATAAATGTCTCTTAAAAATATAGGCATGGATTGATATTTTCACAAATTTAAACAAATTGGTTGAAAAAGTGGTTATACTCAAATAATTTCAGTATTTAAACAATATTCCAACATACAAACAACATTTTTTCTATTTTAATATGTCCTCTTTGTCCGTCGTGTACGCTACAGTCAAGAAAGCCATTATAATGAAATTATTTTCCACTATTAACCGGAAAGATTGTAGTTTTAAATAAAAAAAGATCTTTGAGAAAATATTGAGTAGCCCTTTAAAAAGATTTAAAAAACTAATTGGCGGATCTTGTAGTTTGATATGAAAAGCCGTTAACAATGAATAAGTTGTCTCAATGTTATACGTAAATAAGTTGTCTCTTTAAATATCGATTTTCAAGATATTTGTTTACAGAGAGTTGTAATTGTCGGATGCAGCATACAATTTTGTAAGCGCAACAGAAATCATGTTCTAAAAATCGTTCATGTGCTCGCAAAACAGTAAGAAGTAAGAATTTGGCTTGCGTCGAATAAAGCAAGGTTTCAAATGAGATGTGTCAATAACAAGGCGTTCCTAGAAACTATTAAACATTTTATATAAAGGAATCTCAAACACGATTCTAAAACAAGGAAAGAATGCTTATACATTAGTTAAACTCTGCGCCCATTCTTTCAAAGATCCGTGAGGAAATATTGTACTGATGTCTACTATTACATTTCACCGCTCATTAATCTACTACAAGGCCTGCATTCAATCCACACCACAGTGTACGTACATTGTGCCATTAGCTCAAATCAAAGATAAGCTCAAATTAGTAAGATATCATTTAAATAACTTTAATAATAATGTGCAGAAATGGGACTAAGAGTGTGCGTTACTGCATCCGCAATTTAAAATTCGCTTTTCTGTAAATAACGTATTAATACCAATGTTCGTCTATTTGCCTAAACGAAAACACGATAAAGGTAGATCTGTTGAACAATTATAATATCAGTAATAAGTAAGTTTCTGGTGAGAGAATAAAAACTCTTAACTAGCAAACTTGAATTGAGTTAGTTCAGAATAAAGAATTACTTTCTTTGTTTTTCAAACTAATTCACATAGAACCTCGAAAGAGACTTAATATTCTTTTATTTCAACAGCTTCCGATTTGCATCCAAGTTATTGAAATGCCTTTTTCTTTTTAAACTTCTTTATATTGGAAAATTCATTTAAAAGAAATTCCTTTTCTGTAGCATCAAACATTTTTTAAAAGATTGCAACGAATGCTTCTTTACACACTTCCAAGGAGCCTTGCACCGGCCTGATTTCTTTCACACAAAATTAGGCAGCACGGAATCATTTCGGCATTAAACATTTTGCTGGTTAGATGCCACTTAAAAGCCAAACAAATATAGTTTATTATTTTAACTGTTTCAGTGTTTAGAATCAAAGATAATTTTTTCGAACATTCCTAAAATTTTATGACACTCTCGTTGATCGGGCGCGTTTTCAGTCATTTACTTGGAGTCTATTAGTGGTACTTCTTTCAAAGTTAAGAAGCCGGTAGACTGTGCATCATTATATTACAATAAATAAATGGAACTAATAATACAAGTTTAAAAGACTACTCACTATATGGACTGCCATTTGTTTTGCCGTGATTCCCTTATAATGGTTATGATTTGCTGCAAGCCATCTATACTCCGATGCCAATTATGTATGTAGAATTAACGCGTTAGACCGCATGGCTATGTTCACTATAACGAAATAACAGTTTATGTTATATGATTTAATAAGCTTTTATGTTAAGATTCATGTTCACTTATTTTATTATAATTTTGTTATTATTTGAATTATAAACAATATTCTACGAAACCACTTCATAAAAAACAAGAAATTTTGTTGAAATTGTGGAACATAACGAGATTGATCAGTGGACCAAGGACGATAAAAAATATAATCCAGTTTCCAAAGGATTTTAAATGACTAGGTACTTGAAACACTTAAAATGTCCTAGTCCCCGCGATTGATACCAGGGAGACAACAATGCGAATGTTAAACCGCTCTTATACAAATGGACCGGTGCTAGAAGAAAATCAGGAAAATTGGGACCGTTGGTGAAGTAAGGTTGGGTCAATGAAAAACGTTGGAATTAAATGGAATGAGGATGAAATATTCTCTGGCATTAAACCCTGGAAATTCAAAAAAGTGATAGTCTTGGACAAAATTCCTTAGAAAATATAAAATATAACATACTATAGGAATCATTTGAAAAACAACACAAAATATATGACACGGCAGCATCAGGAAATAAATAAGGGTTATCCTGGATGGTTATCCTATGATAAGGAAACTTCAAAATGCTGGCAAGCGTGATCCGATAGGGTCCATTTTCAATACAAAACGTCTGATGAGTATTTCAAATGCCTACAAGTACATCATATGGTGGAGGGTATTTCAAACTCCGAACAGAAGCAATAGCAGAAAAAAAAACACAAGCCCGCAAAGAGAGACAAAACAATAGTTATACACAGCAAAAATATATACCGTAGTTTTTCGATTTCACGAAGTATATGTCAGTCCAGTTCGTTAAATTGAAAAATTCTTTAAGCCGACTACTAGCTATAAGAAGGCTTGTCCACTCAAAGACTTTTGAAATAACAATTCTTACATGAGTTAACAAATAAATAAATGGAAGTGGTATACATATACATTGATTGCATGTTATTGATTATACACATTTTTAAATGTGTTCTACAACATCATCATGCTTAATTCTCAGTTGTTCATCTGAAGGAATGTTGTCTTCACCATTAATATCAGTCTCAGCATCAAACAAAACACAACATCATTGGAGAATCCTCTTGGTTTTTGTTCGTTATATCAAATACAAATGTTTTACAGAGCTCGTAATATAAAGTACTCAATGTAATTTTATTAGAAGTTCGTAAAATCCCGAATGCGTTAAACTGGTGGATCTTTAAATCGGAAAACTACTGTACATTAAAAAGACTCTTTAATAAGATCGCTAAAGGAATACCAGTAAAGAAAGTCTGAAAGTCGGGCGGGGCCGACTTTATGATACCCTACACCACTTTGCTAATTAAGTAGAGCTCCAGATAACAATTAAAAGTTTTTATGGGAGAATTCAATCATATACGCTATGATTATAATTATAATTTAAAGTTCAAAGGACTAAATATGCCGAAGCATTTGTATCTTTTAAATTAGGAATTGTATTGCCCATTTGGTGCACAATTAATTTGAAATCGGATAAAGATATATATGGGAGCTATATCCAAATCGGAACCGATCTCGATAAAATTTGGCAAAGATATTTCTGAGCTGTGTTTGATATATTTCCCTGAATATCGTTGTTACGGAGTGCTTATTACGGCTGTGGGTAACAAATATAACAAATCGGATGAATAATATATATGGAAGCTATAGCTATATCTGAACCGATCTTCACCAAATTTGACATACTAGCTTCTAGACTAAATTCGGTCCTAAGTGCCGAATTCCATCCTATTTGGACAAATATTAGACGTTTGGTGCACAATAAAAGGTAAATCGGACGAAGTTATATATGAGAGCTATATCCAAATCTGAACCGATCTCGATAAAATTTAGCAAATGTATTTCTGAGCTGTGTTTGATATGTTTCCCCAAATATTGTTGTTGCATAGTGAATATTACGGCGGCGGTGGACAAAAATAACAAATCGGATGAACAATATATATGGGAGCTATAGCTATATCTGAACCGATTTCGATCAAATTCGGCATACATATTTTCAGGCCTAATTTGGTTGTATATGCAAAATTCCATACAATTCGGGCTGATATTACACGTTTGGTGCACAATAAAAGTCAAATCGGACGAAGATATATATGGGAGTTATATCTAAATTTTGACCGATTATCTCCAATTTCAATAGGGTTCGTCCTTGGGCCAAACAAAAGATCCTTGCAAAATTTCATCTGGATCGGGCAATAAATGCGACCTGTACTTTGTTTACAAAAATACATGGACAGACGGACGGACGGACATGCATAAATCGACTCAGAATGTGATTCTATGCAGATCATAAAAAGGAACTATGGGTCTATCTCGTTTCCTTCTGCCTGTTACAAACAAATGCACAAAGACATAATACCCTGACCACCTTGTGGTGTAGGGTATAAAAATGAAAAAAATTGCACAAACATAGTTATCCATAATAAAATTTTGATAAGTTACAAAAATCCTAATTAGGTATGTTTATACTTTTACTTTGATTGAAAAACGTAACATCGGTGGTTTAGTAAAAAATTGAGGGAAAAGATCAAAAAACTCCTGTTTCAACCCATTTTTTGCATTAATAAATCTACGCAAATTCATTTTTAAGATCAATATTTTAAGCCATAAATGTGAAAACAGCAACACAAAAGTTAGTTCTTACACATTTATTAGATATGTCGAAGTTCCTTATACCCCTCATTGACAGAAGGCAATGTTCTATCAAGGTTTATATCTGCTTTTATACCAAGATCAACGGCTTTTACTGTGGAACTATTTCATATCTATTTTTTAGACATTTTCTGGGCAAGGTGTCATTCCAGTTCTCATTTTTTCTTTTCAGGGTTTGATAAAGATGTACAATTTTGATAATTCTGCACAACAGCAATATCGAAACATGATTATGCCTCCTACGGGGTTTGTAAATATATATGATATGATTGTATATCAATTTATTCGACAAAGGTAATATTGTAATGGGCTTCCTCCATCGACTCCAAATATCCTGAAACGTATTTGGTCTATAGAGACCTAAATTCTAAAAACGTTATTTCGGTGAGACACGTATCAAATGATATGAATCTTCTGTAGTTATATGGCTGAGGATATAAAGAGGCATGTACTTGTAAATATTCCTATAAATTTAATTTTTTTTTTTAAATATCCTGAAACGTATTTGGTCTATAGAGACCTAAATTCTAAAAACGTTATTTCGGTGAGACACGTATCAAATGATATGAATCCTCTGTAGTTATATGGCTGAGGATATAAAGAGGCATGAACTTGTAAATATTCCTATAAATTTAAATTTTTGTTAAAGTTAAATTTTGGTATGGAGCTCTAATCCCATGTTTGTAAAATAGTTATTAATGGTCAAAGATTACGACAAGAAAGTCGACTGTAATAGTTGGTTCTTCTTCGATTTCTTTTTCTCTATGACTGAGTCAATGAGCTCCTCATTAAGATCATATGAATCTTCTTTATATTGTGAAATTGGTTTCAAAGAAATTCCTTTGAAAGAAAGAAATTCCATTCCGTAGCATCCAACCTTTATTCAAATATTGAGTCTTTTTTTTCTATTTATGGTACTTATTTTAAATCTAAGAAGGCGATGGAGCGTACATCATAATATTGCAATGAATAAATGGAATCCCTATCTGCAGCTAATTACACAAGCTTTAACGAAATAACATTTTATGTTATATGATTTAATAAACATTTATATCAGGTTTTATATTCACTTACTTTATTATAATTCCGTTATTATTTGAACTAAAAACAATATTCTAATAGCTTATGACAAAAGTTGCCTATGCAGGTCCATTCGCCGTATAGACCCTAACATAACGGCTACATTTAGTATTTTTAAAATTATAACAGAATTTTTAACGGATTTTATTATTATTTTTTTTAATTGCCAAATTCGTCACAAGTGGTGGAGGGTATACATCTTTTTTACTTCTTTATATTGTGAAATTGGTTTCAAAGAAATTTCTTTGAAAGAAAGAAATTCCTTTCCGTAGCATCCAACTTTTAATTCAAATATTGAGACTTTTTTATTCTATTTATGGTACTTCTTTTAAATCTAAGAAGGCGATGGAGCGTACATCATAATATTGCAATGAATACATGGAATCCCTATCTGCAACTAATTACACAAGCTTTAACGAAATAGCATTTTATGTTATATAATTAAATAAACATTTATATTAGGTTTTATATTCACTTACTTTATTATAATTCCGTTATTATTTGAATTAAAAACAATATTCTATGAAACCACTTCTCTTGTAAAAACAATAAGCGCACACGTCAAAATAGGTGCCAACCCATTTCAGTTTTTGGATAATTATGCAGCATTCTTAGTATAAAACATTTTCCTGGAATTTTAAATTTTACAAACCCTAGTGGGTTTGTGTTACAAGAATCACAATGAAACAAATGCATGCGAATTAGTGTTAGAAAAGGTTTGGTTTCTGAATTTAATCTGCGTACCTTTGACCAATAACGCGACTTTTTTTGTTAAAATGGAAGTATACTTGGTATGTAGGATGTGGCATACCTCACTTGATAGGGAAACATTGACTTTTTTTACTAACCGCTAACAAAAGATTGCCATAACATGGTTGAAAACATGGTACAATGAATACAAGGTAGGCTATCTTTGAAAAAATTGCAAGTATAGAGGTCTACCTGTTTGGCTTGTAATGTCAGAATTACTATCAAAACAATAAAATAGCAAACAGCTTGTTTCATTGATTTTGAATAAATAATTTAAAACCGCGAAAACTGAATGAAAGGCCAACATTTCTTTTCAAAATCATGTTCTATATATCTCTTATGGTTTATTTTGCGACAAAAACTGTTGTTGTTGTCGATGCATACGTCGCAATAAGCACTTTGAAAACACCCGAATTTGAATATTTTCTGAACATTTTTTTTATTATTGAAAAGAATACACACACATAAACAAATGAAGCTGACATATTAAGCTAGAAAAATAAAAAAATTTAAATCATATGGTAGTTCTGCCCTACCTTGAATTCATTGTACCATGGTTGAAAATATTCCTTTGAAAGTATATAATGCTCGGTTATAATAATCAGGGTTTACGAAGTAGATTTAAATTATTTTACTTCTTTTTTTCTACTCTTTGTATACGATCTGAGCGCATTTGAATGATTAAGCGATTATGGATACATAGTTGATATTAGTAATTTATGAAAATAGTGTCTCATATCAACCCAGAAATAATGGAATTCATGCAATGTAGAGTGGCAGGGTGGCGTTACCATATTATAATATATATTTGATTACCTTAACAGTAACTGAGAGGTACAAACACTAATTAAAATGTACATGTGATTAGTTTCCTAAATGTTGTTATAAAAGAAATTCCTGAAACCTGGAGTCAGTATCGAACTGATACCGAGAAAACAATCTTTGGAATAACATATGATGGAGTACAATATTATCAAAATTTGTGTTTTAAAGCATTTCAATGAGCTTAACCTAATAGGTGCGATATTATGATTAGATACAACATTCACTCAAAGCTTTTTTTAATAATTAGATGTTCCTGTGTTAAAATCACTCTAGTTTTAGGTAAAATTTTGCAGGTCCGTATAACTTTTAATATTGCAAATGTGTCATATATTCAAATTGCATATTACAAATATATATATATATATATATAAAAGAGGAAAATGTTTGTACGTTTGTTTGTTTGTTTGTTTGTAATTTATGGACTCGAAAACTGCTGAATAGATTTTTCTGAAAATTTCCATATATACTGCAACATCGCCTGAAAGTAACATAGGCTATATACATTTTTGAATTTCCACTTGGAACTGGAGATATAGCATCAGAATCGGAGGTACCTCCCAAAAATTTAGATTTTATATGCACATATCTATTGATCGGTTAAAGATACAGTATACAAATTTGGAATGTGTAACGGAATTTGGAACAAAAATATGTTTGCTAAATTATATTGTAATCGGTTCAGATTTGGATATAGCTCCCATATATATTTTCGACCGATTTCGTTCATTTGATGCCTCAAACACAATATGAATGTTCGCTTCCAATGAAATTTGGAATATGTGACGGGATTTGATCCCAAAATAAATTTGTCAAATTATATTGAAATCGGTTCAGATTTGGATATAGCTCCCATATATATTTTCGGCCGATTTCAAGCATTTGATGCACCAAACACGCTATGTATCCCCAATTTCAATGAAATTTGAAACGTGTGATAGATTTTATCTAAAAAAATTTATTTCCCAAATTATATTGAAATCGGTTCAGATTTGGATATAGCTCCCATATATATTTTCGGCCGATTTCATGTATTTGATGCACCAAACACGCTGTGTATCTCTAATTTCAATGAAATTTGGAATGTGTAGCGGAAATTAAAACAAATATACATTTGTCAAATTATATTAAAATCGGTTCAGATTTTTTCATATATATTTTCGACCGATTTCATGTATTTTATGCACCATACACGATATGTATGTTCGATTCCAAAGAAATTTGGAATATATAACGGGATTTTGATTAGAAAATAAATTAGTCAAATTATATTAAAATCGGTTCAGATTTGGATATAGCCCCCATATATATTTTCCGCCGATTTCACATATTTGATGCACAAAACACGATACGTATTTCCGATTCCAATGAAATTCGGCATGAGTGGCTAAATTTGGTACAAAAATAAATTTGACAAATTATATTCAAATACGCTCAGATTTAATTATAGCTCCCATATATATAATCAGCCGATTTCACATATTTGATGCACCCAAAGCGAGAAAGACGAAATCTGGCACCAGAAAAAATTGCCAAATGTTATTGAAATCAGTTGAGGTTTGGCTATAGCTAACATATGTGTGGTTACAATAATAAATGTGACAAATTAATTGGAAATTAGTTAAGATTTGGATATAGCTCCCATATATATATTCTCGGCCGATTTCACGTATTTGACGCACCAATTTCAATGAAATATGAAAGGTGTGGCGGAATTTGGTGTAAAAGTAATTTTTTTTAAATTATATTTAAATCGGATCAGATTGGGATATGATTTTAATAAGAACCATTGACCCACAACGCCTTAGGCTAACACTAAAAAACAACACAACAATTAATTTGAAATACGCTTATTACGGCGAAGTATGTTGCTATCTCGAATTCATTAATTGCAACAGAAATGCCACTCAACTTCAAAAGATTGCAGTTTACTGCACGCTTGGTATTTGCTATGAAATAAATAAATCCGAAGGACAAACCCTTCGTGTATATATGTCATGTTACTGTTTTTCTAATGGTTTTGTATATTTACGCATTAAAGTAGTGCAATAATTTTTTTTTTTTAATTATAAAATTTGTTTTTTTTTAACCAACATATATTCGTAAATAAAATTTTGACTGCATATAAAATCAAAAGGGGTAGCGAAGCGCACCGGGTTCAGCTAGTTACAAATATATATTAGTTTCCCAAATGTTGTTTTTAAAGGAAGTTGTTAAAAACTTTGGAATAACATATGATGGAGTAAATTATTATTTGTGTTTTAAATCATTTAAATGAGCTTAACCCAATAGCTGCGACATTACGATAAAGTAGAACTTTAAGCCATATGTTTTTTTGTTTGTTTATAATTAATTGTCCCTCTGTTGAAATCACTCTGTATATCATTTTATATTGCAAATGTGTCATATATGTCTACGCTTTTGCATAGCCCCCATAAAAGGTTCTGCCGATGAAAGGCTTTTTCGGTGTCATGGAAACATTTTTGCAGAAAAGTGTCCATATGAGCTGAAGTTGTGGTATTGATCCTGACATAGTGCTTGCGTTTTGAGTTCGGAATAGGTTCTACATCCTACGACAGAAAATTATGTAAACATGTCAATTTTTTCGTATTGACACCCCCGATAATCTGTATATTTATGATTTTATTCTATTTTTTACGAATTTTATTTGATTATTCATAGTTTCTGATAGCAGAAAATAATATACGAATAACAGATGTGGGCATTTATAGACAACTTTTCAAATAGAGGAGAGAACGAACTTAAACGCCTTACTTATTTTATTGTAACCACACACACATTGTGGGGTATCCGAAAAATATTTCTTGGTGGGACGTAAGGAATGTCATATTTGATATTCCCTCTTTTTCATAATGAGTAATTACTATTTCGCCGGCAAATATTTTCTTTTCAAAATATCAGACGGACGAGAGGGTGCTCCTTTGTCCCAGCAAAAAACGGATTACACAGGCAGAGGTTACTTACCCTTTTGGAGTCGATTGTAAGTACAATACTGCGAATTCTCACATCCGTAAGGAGGTTATGACTACGATGAGCAGCAATAGCACATTTAATTATCCAAAAGTTTTTTTTTTCAATGTTTTACTTAAAAGCTGTAAATCCACAAACATCCTCTATGAAAACATCACAGTCGATTACTGGCGAGAAATTTATCGATAATAAGCCAATAACATGTTCGGCATTGCCATCCGTTGATATTGCTAGGAATCTAGTATTCAGAATAAGTTCCAAACACATACACGTGAGCATTCGGGCATTATTTCACCACAGATAAATAATGTCATCCATTAGTACTGACGTCAATGACTCAAAATCTCAGTATCAGATGCTGAAAGTTGAGCTACACACATGCCACCCAACAGTTATATAACATGACTCTGAAATACAATAAAACTAAAGGTCTGTTCCAGAACTGCAAGAATGTACAAATTTTTATCACGATAGCCGATTTTTCCTTTATGAATCGAACAAAATGACAAAAATAGTAGATTCTTGCAGGTTCTGGAACATAGCATTAATAAATTATTTACAATGGGATTGACAAGAGCAAAAACCCGAGGGAGGTATCTGTAACCATGGTACAATAATTTCCAAGGTAGAGCTAGCAATCAGGAGGGTATATTAAGTTTGTCATTCCCTTTGTAACACCTCGAAATATACATTTTAGACCCCACAAAGTATATATATTCTTGATCAGCATAAAATTCTATGTCGATGCAGGACTTTTGGTATTGAAAATGGACCATGTAGGTCCACGTCATCGTATAGCCCACATATAACGGTACCTCCCGATATGCGGTATTTTGATGATTTCCGGCAAATAAGGAATGGTTTCAAAATTGGTATTTAAAGTTCTTAATAGATACTACGGCTAAAGACGGAAAATGGGCCATGTAGGTCCACGTCTTCGTATAGCCCCCATATAACGGTACCCCCCGATGTTCGGTATTTTAATGATTTTAGCGACATTATTCACCGGAATAGTTTCAAATTCGGCATTTGAATTTCATAATGAATACTACAGCCTATAACGAAACCCCCGATATTCGGTATTTTTATGATTTTAGCGACATTATTTACCGGAATTATATCAAATTTTGTATTTGAAGTTCGTAATGGATACTACAGCCTATGACAGAAAATTGTCTGTGCAGGTCCACGTTTTATAACCCCCATGGTACCTCTCTACATTCGGTATTTTGATGATTTTAGCAACATTATAAACAGTTTTTTTTTCAAGTTTCGCATTTGAATATTTTAATAGCTTATGACAAAAGTTGCCTATGCAGGTCCATGTCGTCGTATAGACCCTAACATAACGGCTACATTCGGTATTTTTAAGATTTTAACAGAATTTTTAACGGATATTATTTTTTTAAAAATGTTAAATTTGTACCAAATGGTGGAGGGTATTCAAAGTTTTGCCCGGCCGAAATTACAGCTTTTTTAATTGTTTTCTTTTAGTAGTCTTGTGATGTCGAAGCATATGCACAATTTTTGCATGAACTGTTTTGAATAATAAATAAACTAATCGTGAAAATTTTAAAATTCTCTTGAAATTTAAATTCATATTTACATCTTTTTGAAAAGAATTAATATTTGGGTTTTGGGATGAAAAATAATTCTGATCGTATTAGGATTTCGATATTGCAAAAAATATAAAATATTTTAAAAGAGTCAAATAAATAAAACCACTTGTTGCATTTGTTATTTACAATTGAACTTACAAGATTCTATAGTATAAGTATATATGTTCCAGAACTTACAACACCGAAAAAGAAGCACTTCATCATAACACAATTTCAAAGAATTACTCAACGATCGATATCTATAATTTTAAAACTCGATTTGATAGAAAAGTTTGGCCGGGTCGAACTTTATCATCCTCCAATATTTGGATAGTAGCATTTTAAAAATAGCTCCTAAGTGACGATGTACATTTGCTACCAGAAGAGATGACTCCTATTACGGAATTAAACTACATTAAAAATAAGTAAAATCATAAAAGTAAAATATTATTAATACATTTTCCGATTTTTTTTTTTGCATCAGTCCCAATACGGGTCTTAAGTAAATAATTTCTAATGTTATATATATAAAACTTTAATGTTATAAATATAAAATTATATATGGTAAATACACAAGGTAAAGTCATTAATGAAATGACCATATCCATCTCTGCATTTTTGTAATATACCTTGCCAACTTTTACTTAATTAAAAACAGGTTACCATCTCTGATTTGTGTATAAATGTACATTTTGACAATGAGATGTTGTCAAAGGAACAATTTTGAAAAAAATTTAAACATATGATTGTATGACCTTCTTGATTCTACCATGTTTATATAATGACCTTAAAAAATCCTATGTGTGCATTGTGGGCTTTCCGACAAATATATATCCACGATTTTATTGAGTATATGAATTTAGCCACCTTTTTTGATATAAATGTTTGAAATTTGTTACTTTAAGTTGGTAGTAGGAACCATCTCCCCAAGTACAAGATTTACATCGTTACTTAGGGAAAAATTTTTAAAAGTGTTACTTTCCAAATGGTGAATTATTTATGTGTGGTGAAAATTATGCCCGAATGCTTACGTGTGTGTTTGGAACTTATTCTGAATACTCGACTTCTAGCAATATCAACGGATGGTAATGCTGAATAAGTAATTGCTTATTATCGATAAATTTCTGGCCAGTTAACGACTGTGAACTTTTCATTGTGGATGGTTGTGAATTTACAGCTTTTAAGTAAAACATTTTAAAATAAATTGTGGGTAATTAAAAGTGTTGTTGCTGTTCATCGTGGTCTTTACCTCCTTATGGATGTGAGAATTCTAAGTTCTGGACTTACAGTGGATTCAAAAAAGGTAAGTAAGCTCTGCCTGTTGAATTGGTTTTTGTTGGAAAAAAGAGTACTCTCATGTTCGTCTGACATTTAATGTTGGTGAACACACAGACATCCATGGGATGTTTGTCATTCTGTTTGTAATTCATAGAAATAATCTTTTAGGACCCAACACAGAATATGAGATTTTGATCAGCGCAAAATTCTACCACTATTTGCATATGTCAGCCTGTGGTAAATGGTATTACGTTTTGAAGAGTGAACTTAGATGGTTAACATGTATGTCCCAAATTAGTAAACGCAAATTTCCTCAAAATTATATAAAATTTCTGAAAATGTCAACTTATATATTTTTGAAGGACATTTATAATTAATTTTTAATTTTTTCTTTTTAAAATGAATCAAAATGTAAATAGTTTTACAAATATAGCTCCGAATGGTCTGATCAAGACATTATTTTTTACCAACAAAGTTGTTTTGAAAACAGAAAAATTAAAATTGGAGAATTAAAGCTAACAATTTATAGAGAGACATAAAAACACTTGAAATATTTTTTATTTCACTACACATACAATCACAAAATAATTTTGAATTTTATTGTCTACCCCTGTTTTAAATAAAAAATATTTGCCGGCGCAATATTAAGGATATAATATAGCTTCGTAAAATGTTGCGGATTTACTGTACCGTAGAATTGTCGTCCAATAAAATTTCTATTTGATATTGTAGGGTATATCAAATTTTCCTTTCGTGCCACCAAGAAATAACCCACAGTGTGTATGGAGAAATAAAATGAACAAGTAAAAAAGCAGTAGGTTCGGCCGGAATACCCTCCAACATTTGAACGAATTAGGAAATTCAAAAAAAAATAAAATCCATTAAAAATTCTGTTAAAATCTTAAAATACGATATTGTGAACCTATATAGACAAATCTACTTCTGGGGGTAATGTACTCATAAATAACCCCTTGTGCAGAATTTCAGACAATTCCGTTGAAAAATGTGGCTAAAAGCATCAAAATTTCGAATATCTGGAGGTACCGTTATATGGGGGCTATACGACATCGTGGACCTATATAGACCATTCTCTTTCAGGGAGAAAAGTACTCACAAGGAACTCCTTCTGTAGAATTTCAGACAATTCCGTTGAAAAAAATTTCATTCATTAAAATACCCAAAATGGGGGGGGGGGGGGGTACCGTATTATGAGGGCTATACGATATCGTGGACCTATATCAGCGTTGCTCAAGGAAAAATATCTTTTTCAAGTCAAATTTATCTTTGCTTATTTAAATTAATAACAAGACAGTGTTAAGTCATTATATATACAAATATTTTTATCCATATGCTTTATAAATTATGTTGGCAAACATTCATGTTTAAAAACAATTAAATGGAATCAGAAAATATAAAGAAAAACAGAATTTTAATTTTTTCTTAAATTATCTCTTTTTCGGCTCATGTTCTAGAACACGGTTTTGAGCAGGGCAGCCTATATAGATAATTTTTTTCAAGGGAATAAAGTACTCACAAGGAACTTCTTGTGTGAATTTTCAGACAATTCCGTTGAAAAATGTGGCAAAAATCATCCAAATACGGAATATCGGAAGGCAGACAAAAGACAGACCTGTGCAAAATTTTAGCTTCCTATCATAATTCGTTTTGACTGTAGCTTGATTACAACAGACGGACGGACGGACAGGGCTAAATCGTCTTAGAATTTTACGCAGATCAAGAATATATGTACTTTGTTGGGTCTAAAATTATTATTTCGATGAGTTACAAACGGAATGACGAACTTAAAGGCAGTTAAGTTCCTAAAAAGGCAGTTAAGTTCGTGCAACTACCATTTGGTATGTAACATTTGAAAATATATGTAAAAGTGCTGACATATGTTATTCGTATCAAGAAATGAATGATTTATTTGTGGTGAAATTATGCCCGAATTCTTACATGTGTGTTTGGAACTTATTCTGAATACTCGACTCCTAGCAATATCAACGGTGGCAATGCTGAATTGTTATGGCTTATTATCGATACATTTCTTGTCAGTTATCGACTGTGATGTTTTCATTGTGAATGGTTGTGGATTAACAGCTTTTAAGTAAAACATTTTAAAATAAATTGTGGATAATTAAACGTGTTGTTGCTGCTCATCATGTCATAACCTCCTTATGGATGTGAGAATTCGCAGTATTGTAGTTACAGTCGACTCAAAAAAGCTAAGTAACCTCTGCCTGTTTAATCCGTTTTTTTGCTGGGACAA